GTGGTCTCATTGAACCACTTCAGACAGCATCAGCATGCTATGTATTCAGTATCTCCATGCTGTGTAGCTGTAGTGTTGCTCAGCTGATGAAATACTATACATGGATGTTGATTAGTCCCTATTGTCATATAAAAACCATACTGCATAGTAAGGAGTTTCACCTTACTCCGATATATATTAGGTCCTGCCTGTATTGTGTGACGATCGATTAAAACGTTGGAACATGATACAGGTAAGGGAGGGCTGCCATGTCTCCAAGCATATTTGTCTGATTGAACAATCGAGGAAGATTAAAAATACAACTCTTTGGAAATTCAGTGTGATTGTTACAAATTCAAATTGCATGAATTCCAAAGTTTACATTGGGTTTGCTTTTTCATCAATGTCTCATTCTCTTACAGGTGATTTTACATGGAAACCGAGAACGAGGGCATGTATTCATGTGTGTTGGATAGGATTTCATTCTTGGAAGTTTTTTTTTTTTTTTTTAACAGTACATGACACCATGCACCTTAATTATGGGAGCCTTGGCATTGTCTGTGGGTTGAATGTTGCAGGGAAAGGGGAACAGATGGAGATGTGGGTCAGAGACAAAGGCAGGCATGCTCTGTTAATGAAAATAAGGGTGTCTGATTCGCTTTGGCTGGCAGAGGGGCTCCTCTTTGCACACAGGCTGGATTCGTCTCTGTGTGTGGTAGAAGTACGTAAGGAAGGAGGATGAGGGGGCGTTGAAGTGGCCGAGCCACAAGAGGTTTCAGATTATACCACTGCCGTGAGACCACCAGGGTACCCTAAGCCGGATCAGTCAGGAGATGTAATTTACTCTACCAGGGTTCAGTGCAGATATCTGTCTGCGGTGCGATTGCTCTCCTAATCAAATAGAGCACCTTTCTCACACACACACACACACACACACACACACACACACACACACACACACACACACACACTCATCTTTCTCTCCTAAATTCTAACATTTTCCATGTTTCCTCATTTTACAGAAGCCGAACTGCATTTGAGAAGAATAAGACTGATGTTTTCCGTATCAAAACACACAACGTGGGGCCTTTGAAAAAGCTGAGGTACTGTGCATCAAATTTAATGTGACAGAAAATGCCACTTTACTGACAGTGACTTGTGAAAATTTCTCACTATGATGCCCCTTTTAGTTTTTTACATGGCTGCCACATATACCCAGAATGCACAGCTTCAGATCACTGACAACATCACAGTTTATGCGTCATAGTTAAGTGTACCTCACACAGGATAACAGCAGCTTACAGAGAAGATTGCACAGGAACATTCTCACTTATTTCCCAGCTGTGCTGCTGGCCATCAAAGGATTTCATCCAGTGGCAGAAGGTTAAGCCCCATCTGTTGTTGGCAGTTAGTGTCTTACTCCAGAGGAGGATGAGTTACATCACAGGCTCAACACATTAACAGTGAAATGAGGCAGCAGGATGCATTTAAAAGTTAGTGAGTGCAAAACGATCCTGAGAAAAGTAAGAACTACAATTTTTGACAAAACAGTCCCAACTCAAGGTTCACTTACCAGCAATTCTCATCTCTTTTGACAGTGTTTGAACAGTGGACAGAGTTTGCTCAGTTGTCATGGAGATGGATCCGTTGAGAAACAAACAAACAACAACAACCAAGCAGTCAAGGTCCACTTACTAGGTTTTGCCAGCTTTTTCTCAGCGTAGTACTTATGTAACATGCCCTAACTGGCCAGATGTGTGATCAAACTTCATGAAATTGTCAGAAAACATTTCTGTGTTGATTATAATCATGCCTTATTTATTTCAGAGCTTTATCTGTAAATTAAACATTTTGGTGAATATTTAAACTTTCCACTGCATTAGTTATCATAGATGTCTGTCGTACTTGCCTGTGAAAGCAAAAGACACCCAGTTCCAGAGAAGCTGTGGTACTCTAAGGGTGAAGATGCCAAATATGGACAGATTGCTGGTTAAAATCCAGCGGATTAGCGCTTTGTTAAATATCTTTTCCATCTCTCACAATGTGCTTGGAACCTACTTATATGTCATTGTGTTATTGTACCACATCTCATTCAGTCCTCATGATATGACTGAACCTCAATGGATGAAAACAATAGTCTCTGTTGTTTGGCATTTACCACTACAGAAATTCAAACAAACTAAAAAAACAAAAACAAAGTCATTGGTGCATGTGATGTGGAAAACTCATTTGTGATTACCTGCAGGGTGAATTCATGTCACACTATGATGGTTGACTCCCCAGGATCGAGCACGATAACACCGGGATGAATGCCAGCTGGTTCTTGGACAGGGTGGTGGTGACCGACATGAACCGGCCCCATCTGCGCTTCTACTTCGCCTGCAACAACTGGCTGAGTCGAGAGGAGGGAGACAACCTGTTTGTCAGGGACCTGCTGGGAAGCCTGAACGCCATGGACGTCCCAAAATGTAGCTCACACTGGGAAAAAAACATAACACAAAGCAGACACAAAAGTTCACAAAGGTTAAAACAACAACAGTTGATTACAGTTGCTGTGAAATGGTGCTATATAAATAAAATTGAATTGAATTGAATTAAAATACCTCCAACACATTTTTGAGAAACCACTGGGCTTGAACATTTCACCAGAAAGACAGTTGTAAGATGTCCAAAAGCCAATTTTAAATATAGCCTCCTCTGATGAAGAGATTTTTTTTATAGAAACTTGACAACTTTAGTACCATGTGTCTGTAGAGATATACACAATGGTGCCTATAGCCACAGATCTTCCTACTTTCTGTCGCGTTGTAACTGAATTCAAAGTGTAATCCCCAATGTGATCTAACATCTTAATACCTGCAGTCACTCAAGCAGAGCCTTGTGAAGCCAGGGCTCAAGTAAAGTGCTGTGAGGGACGCACATACACGCACACACACACACACACACAAACACACACACATTGTTATGAATATTTAACCTGGAAACCATCTCAGTGTGGATTAGCAAGGAACCTGCTTAGTGACAACATAAAAGTCCAACTAATTATGATTGCATAGAGCTACTTCTTCCGTAACTCTTCCAGGCAGAAAATTGGTTCTGATGATCAGCATCTAGCAATCCTAGTGCATTGTTCACATAAATCACTGTATTATACATTTCCTGTTTTGCAGTAAATAAATACATAGTGAGTGTGTTCACTGCTGACATGAAGGGAAGTGGAACTGATGCTGATGTCTTCCTAAACATCTTTGGAGAGAATGGTGACACAGGTAGGGCTGCAACAAATGACTTTTTTTCCTGTTTAATTTTCCTGTAGATTATTTTTCTCTTAATTGATTAACCACATACTGGTAGTCTATGAAATGGAGAGAAATCTTTAAAAAGAATCTCACCACAAAGAATTTCACCATAGCCAAAGGAGACATCTTCAATTGTATTATTTTGTCTGATTTACAGACCAAAACATATTAAATTTACAATAATATGAACAGCAAATTTGCCACCAACAATAGCACAAATAGTGTTTTGCCTGTGGCTACCATGTCCTCTCTCTGATTTCAATGTGTTTGATTCACATTCCAAAATGCTTTTTTGTTTATTATAAAAGGAGAGAGAAGGCTGGATAGTGACAAAGACAACTTTGAACGCGGGTCAGAAGACAAGTTTACAATAGAGGCGCCAAACCTGGGAAGGTTGAGGAAAATCACCATTGGCCACAACAACAGAGGTTCATCAGCTGGATGGTTTCTAGATAAGGCCCGTACAATCTACACATGCATACATAATCTTTATAGACCTGGACATATACATAAAAACACTCACAATGATTGCGCACAATGTGTCTCTCCAGGTGGTAGTTGATGACATGGGGAATAAAGAAGTGTATGAGTTCCCAGTTAATCGCTGGTTTGCCATGGATGAAGATGATGGCAAAATACAGAGAGATTTGTTGGTTGGATCCATGCAACCAATGGGTGAGAATAACATGAGCCACTATTTCATGATATTTAAAGTCAACTAAAGTTTTAAATCGCCACACTTTTTTAGTAGGGAAATAGAATTAATCAAATTTGACTGTAGCTATTTTTCATAAATGTACAACTTTCAAAAGAGGATAAAATCGCTTCCGGCCTCTGCAGAGGTGTGCAACTTGGTAGTCAAAACAAACACCAAAGACATATTCTGATTTATTACAAAAAAAACTCATTATCATCAAAAGCTTATCCTTAGAGGGCCGTGGGAAGGTTTGTGCTGATCCTGGCTGACATTGGGAGAGAGGTGGGGTACACCAGGTCACCACATGGCTGATACATAAAGACAGACAACCATTCAAGCTTACAGTCACACCTACAGGTAATTTAGATTTAATTATCCTAACATGAAAATCTTTGGACTGTGGATGGAAGCTGCTCTACCCAGAGAAAACCCACGCAGGCACGGGGAAAACCTGCAAACTCCATGCAGAAAGGAAAGAATTTGAATTTACGGTCACAGATCTTGTTTATATCTCATTCCATTAGAATTCATTGATTGGCATTTTTGTGTATATTTCCTGCATCTGCTTAGGAATCGTATACAATGTACAAGTGATGACTGGAAATGTGAGGGGTGCAGGCACCAACTCTAAGATCCACATGGTCATGCATGGTTCCAAGGGCTTAAAGAACAGCGGCAAAGTATTCCTGGAGGGTGGCGCTTTCGAGCGTGGTCTTATCGACATTTTCAATGTGGAGATTTGTGAACTAATCAGCCCGCTCAGCAGGGTCACCATTGGGCATGACAACGGGGCGGTTGGTGCTGGATGGTACTGTGAAAAGGTACTGCATATCTGATTTTGGTAACAGAGTGATTCTCAAAATATCCTCACCCACAAGTTCCTATTTCTCTTCCTAGGTGGTAATATATTGTCCATTCACGGGCATTGAGCAGACATTTCAGTGCGGGATGTGGTTGGATGAGGACGAGGGGGACGGACTAATCGAGAGGGAGCTGTACGAGATGGTCTCTCTCAGACAGAAAAAACAGAAAAGTGGGTGGCTTCAATTAACTCAAAGATCTCTACTCAGTGGGAGAAAAGCAAATCACACATTCTGTTTATCAGTAAAAGAATTCCAGTTGCATTTTTATTGAATTATATCAGATTCTGAAAACACATTGGCTTCTGATTAAGACCAGTCTCATTCTTCAAAACTAGACTATGCTACTTTGGTATCAAATCTACTCTTCTTCTACTCCAGAGTACCCATGGTCCCTCTGGATATGGACATCAGATGTGAAGGGTGCAGGGACAGATGCCCAGGTGTTTCTGCAGATCTATGGAGAGAAGGGCAAGTCTGACGAGATCAAACTGGAAAACAACTCAGACAGCTTTGAACAGGCTCAGCTTGATAAATTTGTGGTAAGCCCTCGGTCATCTGTTAAACTGAGCACGTTACAGCTTCTTCCACTGTTAAGTACTCACACTGATCAAGACTACATTCTAAGATTTTTTTTCTTCTGTAGATTGAAATGCCAGACATAGGAAGACTGCAGAAACTGCGCATCTGGCATGAAAAGAGAAACCCATTCTCAGGCTGGCATTTAGCAAAGGTGAGACTCATTGCTTTGTCTGTCTGCTCTGTCAGGTAAGCTATTAAGTTTGTTGTATTATGTCCCCTCTTAACACTAAGTTAGACACTGAATAAGAGTTTAATGTTGCACCTGATCCCAGTAGAGTACAGAGAGACTCTGTTTAAATGAGGCTGCAATGCAAATGGTTTCACAGACAAAAAATCTAAGCTTTCCTCAGTCAGTGCATGTTAATGTCACTGCTGCAGTCTTCATTTATCTAAAGGTTAGTTCATGAACCAGAGATGAAGATGAAGACGTGTTTGATGACGCATGAATCTGTCAATTTCTGCAGGTCACTTTGCTGAAGACCCTGACGATGGAGAAATATTCTTTCCAATGTGGCCGTTGGCTGGACATCAATGAAGACGACAATGAGATCGTCAGAGAGCTCCCAGCGACCGGAGCGCTCATCGAGGAGCCGCTGCCCTGTAAGAAACTGAGGACATACGCATGCAAATCTTCTCAGTTGATCCTGAAAGTACACAAGCTTTATGACCGAGAGTCAGTGCAGATATTCAAACTGCATTGTTAAGTGCCTTTACAGCGTCCATGGCAGTGTACATGTCCTCAGCGAATGTCGTTACTTCATGTAATATGGTGTGAGTGTGCTTCTCTGTTTTCTTTTTCAGTGATAAAGTATCGTGTTACCATCTGCACCGGCAACGTCAGCGGCAGTGGCACCGATGCCACCGTCTTCCTCAATATTATCGGTGACCTGGGTGACACAGGGGAGCGACTCATGATTATGAGCAAAAACAATGTGAACAAATTTGAAAAGGGCAATGTGAGTGCGTCATTAATACACAACGGCCCCAAAAGTTATAGATATTGTCTGTGAAATGCACTGCAAACATCCTTAACCAATTTTCTCTCTGTCTGCCCTCAGCATGATGAGTTCCTCATTGAATCCGTGTCTTTAGGCCAGGTGCGCAGAGTGCGCGTCGGTCATGATGGCCGCGGTGGAGGCTGTGGTTGGTTCCTTGATAAGGTGATGGTCAGGGAGGAGGGCCAGCCAGAGACTTTGGCCATTGAGTTCCCCTGTTTCAGGCAAGGCAGTAATAACGTACACATGACTTAAGGAATGCTTGCAGAGAATTGTACGAGGAAATTGACACCACTGTCATGTCTGTACGGTAATGAAGCTGTAGCCAGGAGACAGCTAGCTTAGCTTAGCAAAAAGATAGCTAACCTGGCTCAGAAGATAAAAAAATGCACCTGCCAGAACCTCTAAAGCTATCTAATCAGCATGCTACATCTTGTTTGTTTAAAGTTCAAAAATAACATTTGGATTTGCAGGGTGTTATGTGCCAAACTATTTATTGGTTTAGTGTCAACTGGTAGCCTACAACGCCCATGCTGACTGCTGGCTATGGCTTCATAGTTAATGAAGATTGATACTCCTCTCATATCTGCCAAGAGACACTTAACCCAACTTAGCATAAAAAGCATAAAAAGTGGAAGATGGATCTGCTACAGTCTGTGTGACATTAATCGGCATTAGAGGGTGTACCATGGAGGTCTAGTTATACAGTATATCCATGGGGTGTACTCCTAAGCTCTGTGTGGACATCCTTTTGTCTATTATACTACAAGGGCACCAATTACGCATGTGCGAAATACCTCTTCATGTTAATGCCGATCTACGGGCAGGAATGAAAATGTTTTTGTGTATTACTTGCAAAAGTTCCATTTCATTTTTATTGATTTTTCTTCTTAATTCATTAGTCTGTAAGCCACCAAAACACCACCCAGCTGGAAAATATCCTCCAAACAGCCCCAAAAGCCTCATAAAGTGGCCACGCTTACATTCAGTAGTTCTCCAGTGGCGTGTGTTTAAGTAGTTAGGCAGCTGACGGATGAGTTTGCCACTACAAATAGGCACTAAATGCCCAGTGTTCAGCCAGCTCTCTCCTTCAGTCACTGGAGCCAAACCACAAGGCTGAGGTGCAGTGTTACATTTAGAAAGTGTCTCTTCCTATCCGTCTGTCTTCTGTCCTGTTGAAAGGGAAGTGTTTGGTAGTTTCCAATCCAAAACAATGTAGAACAGTTGTTTAAATATTTTGTGTTGCTTGTACTTGATTTGTTTATTTTTTCAAGATTAATCACATTCATTTTGAGGTCATTGGTTATTTAAATGTTTAGTGATTTTTAAACACCTGCATTAGCTATACAATGTAATAGTTATGATGTTTATCTCCTGCCAAAATATTTAATGTTTGGGTCTTACCTTTTCTCCCCTATTATTTTTTTCACCCACTTGTCTACAAGAATAGCTTCTTCTATTTCAGAGATTCAGTTAATCTCATGACACCAGTCAGAATAAAAGTTATATAATAATAAATGACATTTCATCTGCTTTCCACATATTTCAGTTTTCACCGAGGTTTGGTGGGAGGATTGATCTTGACCTTTGTTTCCTGCTACAGGGTTCAATTTGCTTGTGTATTCTTCTTCAGGTGGTTGGACCGTAATGAGGACGATGGACAGATTGTCCGCGAGTTAGTTCCAGACGGAGAAGGCCTACGTCTCTTTAGTAAGTGCAAAAATAAAAACATTTTAAACCAAAAACAGGTTGAACTTTGTGAAAATGTTGTATGTAATTGTTGTAATGTGCTAATTTCCATCCTACTAAGATGTCAGCTACCATAGCAATCAAGACGGGCAGTGTGAATGGGGCGAGCTCAGACTCCAGGGTGTTTGTCAAGCTGTATGGGGAGAAGGGTGATACTAACAAGACAATACTGGCAGTTTCCGACAATGACCTCAGGAACTATTTTGAGACGGGACGCACTGACATCTTTACCCTGGAAACCTTTGACATCGGACAGGCAAGTTCATACACTTCACAGAGAACGGAGTTTATATTTCAGACATGTATGTGTGTTTCCTAATTCCATTTGATCCTCTAATGCTTGCAGGTCAGCCGGCTCTTGATTGGTCACACTAATGAGGGCTTGAGAGCCGGATGGTTCCTGGACAGTGTGCAGATCTCTGTACCAGTTCATGGGATGCAGTACATGTTCCCGAGCCACCGCTGGCTCTGCAAAGACGAGGCTGATGGGAAAGTGGAGGTCGAGATCTATCCCAGTGAGATGTTGGAAATCGAAAAATGTAAATAACAACAACAACAAAAAGTCTTCCACAGTCAAAATTCATTCATTCATTCATTCATCAATTCTAAACACAACAGTTAATGAGTATTGCTCTGCTGTAGGCCTACATAGTCTTTCTTCCTGTCATTTCCTTTTTTTCACAATTTCTTTTCCTGTCATAACAGTGATCAACTATGAAGTAACAGTAGTCACAGGGGACGTGCGTGCAGGTGGCACCAATGCCAATGTCTTCTGTCAGATCTACGGAGATGAAGGAAAAACTGAAGTTCTCGCTCTCAAGAGTCGCTCCAACAATTTTGAACGCGGTACCACTGAGATCTTCAAGGTCTGTATAAAGCCTGCGTCGCGTTATGCCAACGTATGTAGGAGATTTAAGTTCCTGATTTGACCACAGTTTCATACCTACAACCCAGATTGAGGCTCAGGATGTTGGTAAGATCTACAAGATACGTATCTTCCATGACGGGAAGGGTATTGGAGACGGCTGGTTCTTGGAGACAGTGGACATCAAGCGGCTGACGATGACTATGGTGCAGGTGGAGGTGAAGAAGGAGGACACTAAGAAAGACAAGAAAAAGGACAAGAAAAAGAAGAAGAAAGAAGAAGAAGAGGAGGTGGAGATAGTTGAGGAGCTGCAGGAAGTGGTGGAGACATTTATTTTCTCATGTAACCGCTGGCTGGCCAGGGATGAGGAGGATGGGGAGATTGTGGTTGAGCTGCTAACCGAGGACAATGAAGACTTGGAGAGTAAGTAGAGCATGGTGTAATATAGTTATTTGCTTCCAAAGGCCAGATGTTTTGTTTTAATTGTGACATTTTGAATGAATGTCGAATTAGGCAAATGTCATCAGGTGCCATGTTAAAATGTCACTTATGATGTGTCTAACTGTGTTTTCCTCTCAGTGAACTCATATGAGGTTCATGTGTTTACTGGGACTATGTGGGGGGCGGGGACTGATGCCAATGTTTACATCAACATCTATGGTGAGACTGGCGACACAGGGGAGCGACGGCTCAGGAAGTCGAACAACCTGAACAAATTTGAAAAAGGCCAGGTAAGCTTTGCTTCTGTCGTTCTAGATGTGCTCATTGTTGTGATCATCTGAGTGTTGATACACATGTTTCTGTTTTAAAGGAATAGTCTGTCTGACATTTTGGGAAATACATATATTCACTTTCTTACAGAATGTGTTAGATGGGAAAATTCATATCACCCTCGTGTCTGTCCGTTAAATATGACACTAGAGCTGGCAGACACTTACCTTAGCATTAAGAGAGAACCAAAGGGAAAACGCTTACCTGCTGAGAGTGGCAATGATCTTCTCATCTTACTCTTTGCAAGAAAGCACAGGCATATTTCCTAAAATGTTGAATTATTCCTTTAACTTTCTATCTCTGTGACTTGTCATCCCTGACCACAAAATGCAAACGTTAAAATGACTGCAAAACTATGTCCATAGGGTGTTGCTTCATAATATTTTCATACTTCTCCACAGCTTTTCATATGGTTTTGGGTGATACTGAGCTGAACTGGGGCCCAGTAACATGCCAGAGATTATAGACATTTATTGTTATTTATTTATTGAGCAAAACATTTCTAGTAGTGCCCCGGATTGTACACCCTAGGCAAAGACCAATCTACAAAGTCTAAATAAACTACAGGACACATTACAACATCTGCTTTTTAGGACTGCCCCACAAAAAATGTGTTGTTGCCTTTAGTTCTCACAGAGGCCACACGTGGAAGTTCACACCATGCACTTTATGAATTTACTGTTTATCAGACCACAAATAAGACATAGAATAATTGTGTTGGAAAAACGATAGACACCACTGGAGTGTTTCTGGCCTCACTGATCACTGTACAACCCTCTGCTCTGCCTCAACTTTCTGTGATTTATGGATTTTCCTGATGGACAGGTGACTTTACTTGTTGCTAAAGTTGCTAAAAAACCCGCTGACTGCTGATAAGTGTAGCAGCCATTAGCTAGTTAGCGGTGCTGTTAGCTATTAGTTTCAAAGCTTTATTAGCTTTATAAAACCTCTTTCTCAAAGCTCCTGTGCTAGCAGTGTAAACAAGGAGCTTAAGCAGCCCTGAAGATTGAATAAAGACCAAATGAATAAGAAATGAGTTTCTCATGGACAGCTTACCTAAGACCTGTGGCATTACTTGACCCTGTCTCTGGTTTGTTCACGTGTGACCCAGGAGGACATTTTCAACATCGCAGCAGTCGACCTGGGAATCCTGAAGAAACTGAGGATCCGACATGACAACAGCCAGGCCAGTGCCGGCTGGTTTTTGGACAGAGTGGAAATTGTAGACAACAAAGATGACACCACGTAAGTCATGATGATATTAGAAAGAGTGCAGATATCTATGTGTAACTGCATCTTCACACAAATACCTTGAATAATTTAAACAATTTATTACAAAAAATAGTTAATCAATCATTTATTTACACCCTGTTAAGTCATTCTAGACCCCAAGTCAATGCCCCAGATTTCACAAAACAACATGAGGAACAACAACAAAGCAGACAGAACCGTTGTTCATAAAATGTCTGTAGAGCTCCACTGTGTGGTGTGAAATGGTACTCCTGTCTGTGGAGAGGATCAATCTAAAAAGGAGGGCTGTAGTATTTTTTGACACTGGAACATTTGACAGTCCTACATAGAGATTATTGTATTGTTACTCTGCAGATTGTAAACTGCACAAAATATTATATATATATATATGTGTTTTAGGTATTTTTTCCCTTGCAAACGCTGGCTGGCTATTGATGAGGATGATGGACAGCTTGCCAGAGAGCTGGTTCCTGTGGATGAGGCCTTTATGAAGAAAGGTGATGACGATGAGGAAGACTCTGAAGCAACTCTTGGACTGGAACAGAAAGGTGAGAGCAGCATCATGGCTGCCCCGAGAAAGAGAGAAACATTGTGCTGAAGAATTAAAGGGACCTCTGAAGATGGCATTAAGCTTTTTTTTTTAAATGAACAAATAGGAATAATAATCACAAGATTGCCTAATTTTCTTCTGGTTTCTTTTTATTACAGCCATGTCAACAACATACACAATAAGAATAAAAACTGGTGACAAAAAGTATGCAGGAACTGATGCTAATGTCTTTATGATCCTGTACGGCACCAAGGATGATACAGGTAATACTTCAGACTCTCAAACTGCATTTATATCTGTGTGCATGTGTATTTAAATTATTAAACTACTCTGTGTTGTGCTCATTTACAGGGATAATTAACCTGAAGGCTTCAAAGACTCATAAAAACAAGTTTGAGCAGGGTATGATCGATGAGTTCACTGTAGAAGCTGTTGACATCGGACCACTGAAGAAACTGCGTATTGGACACGACAACTGTGGTACAGTAGGACAGACTCCAAAATGCAGAATGAGTCACAATATCTGTACACATGTAATGACAATAATTTGTGTTAATGTTTAAGGAGGAGGATCGGCAGGCTGGTTCCTTGACTGGGTGGAGATTGATGCCTCGTCTCTTGGACAGAAACTGCGCTTCCCCTGCGGTCGTTGGTTGGACAAAGGGGAGGACGACGGGGCCATCATCAGGGACCTATTCCTAATCCTCTACAGACGGAACTTTACACACCATGTAAATGTGTATGACATGTATACAGCACACTTACAAAAATATGTCATTTGGTGAACATAATTGGTTATGTGGGTGCTTTTTGTTTTTCTAGTTGTTCCTTATGAGATTAAAACCTTCACAAGTGACGTGTTTGGAGCCGGCACAGATGCAGATGTCTTCATTGTCCTGTATGGGCGAAATGCAGTGTGCACCCAGCAGAAGTCTTTGTGTGTCAACAAGAGGGAGAGGATGATGTACTTTGAGAGAGGAGCCGAGGACATGTTTATTGTTGAGGTACAATAGTCATAAATAAGTAGTAAAGTAGGTGCATTCATCAAGTTTCAGAGACCAGGTCAGTGAAGAACAGCAAGGCCAATAAGTGTCTTTCTGAATACATTGTTAATTTAATCATGTTTTATGTCCAGCTAGAAGATGTGGGGGATGTAATTGAGAAGATCCGTATCGGCCACGACAACCGTGGGGTCAACCCAGGCTGGCATCTGGACAGAGTGGAGATCAGACGTCTGCTTAGGAAAGGAAAGGTATTGTCTACTGAGCACAAACGCAGTGGTGGAGGAAGTACTCAGATCCTTTATTTAAGTAGCAATACAGCAAAAAAAAAAAATACTCCAAAATAAGCAAAATGTACTTAAAGTGTCAAAAATTCAAAAATAAGTAGGTAGTTGTACTATAGATATACTATTATATAGTATATTGTATGATTATTAATGATCCATTATGTAGCATTGCAATACGGTAGTTGTCCAAGTGAAGCCACCGTTCACTACTTTATAGGTACTTACATCTATAACAATGATAAAATAATTAAAGTAAAATATTGCCTCTGAATTGCTAAAAGTATTAAGTAGCATTAAATGCAAATACAAAGTACAAGTACCTCAAAATTGTTTACATGTAATCTATCTATGTACATAAGTACAGGTACATAGTTAGATTCCACCCAGATCATTTCAACACCTGACACTGATTTCAGTACTTGCTCAATAAAAATCTAAAACTAATGATGGAGGGGACTCACAGTACATTTGTCTTTGCCAACATCTTACTACTTGTAACACACAATCACTATTTTTGGTCAGTAGGTGGAGATGTTCTCTTCACAGATAGATGAGGGTGATCCAGCACTCACACACTCAACATACTGAACTGAGCTGAGGCTCAGACAAGAACAAGACACTGTGTTCACTGGTTTTCCTCTAAGGCACAAACACATTAAATGTTCCAGCCCTCTGCTCCCCCACCCCCTGCTCTCTCTGTGTAGGGTTCAGAGACTGTCATCTTCCCATGTGAGAACTGGCTCGCCAAATCGGAGGGTGATGGCGAAACAGTGAGAGAGCTGGTGCCGTCTGACATCATCACTGAGAAACTTTCACGAGACGGAAGCCTGAAAGTCACTGAAGTCGAGGTGGAAGATGCCCTAGAGAGTGGGTTCACACGCGCAGACAAACATTACATTCACCTGCACTGATACACACAAACATGCAGAAATGTTTGCAGGATTTGTCTCCCTGCTGTGTCCTGTCTTTCCCCCGCCTTTCTGAGCATTAGTTTGGAAACTAGAGTCAGTTTTCCCCTCAGGTCTTTTTTATCCCTGAATGAGTCTCTGTTATGACAGTGGCATCACACCGTGATGGAAAATTGCTTTCTTTTCACTTTATATTTTGCCAATTGCCTCAAACCGATCCCTTGTGTGCTTGTCTGTGATCATCATCCCCGCTACAGCTCACACATACAAAGTGTCAGTGATGACAGGTGATGTGTATGGAGCCGGCACCGACGCCAACGTCTTTCTCACGATTTACGGGGACTTGGGGGACACTGGGGAGAGGAAACTCAGCAAGTCAGAGACAAACAGCAACAAGTTTGAACGAGGCTCTGTAAGAAAGGACACATTTTGTGACTATTTTTCACCATCTGAATTAATTTTTTACTCTGGCTGTCATCCAAAAATATACAAACTACATAATTAAACGTGTATTATTATTTCTCCTATGGTTTTATCTCCCCAGGTGGATAAGTTCACTATAGAGGCTGTTGACCTCGGACAGGTTTTCAAGATAAAAATCCGCCATGATAACAGTATGGTGAGTGCCGACTGGTACCTGGACCAGGTGGAGGTGGTTGACGAGGACACGGAAGAGGTCTTTCTCTTCTTATGTGAACGTTGGCTGTCCAGGAAGAGGGAGGACCGACGCATTGAGCGAGTCTTCTATGTCAAGGTAGAATTAAAGACATCTGTGTGTGATTGTGTATATGAGATGCCTTAGAATCATAAGTACAAATGGGAAAACAGATATTAAAACACATTAATAGAAAGGAGAATACAATGAGTAAGGCAACATAAAATTGCAATGCATAGAACACTTTAAGGGTCAGTCCACCGAAATTACATAAAAACAATTTTTTTCACTTACCCCTCATGGTGTAGATCAGTGGTTCTCAAAGTGGGGTCCGGGGGTAAACCAGGCAGTCTCCAGCAAAAAGGGGAATAGTTGATTTTCACTATTATTACATCCATAAGTAACACAAAGACAGAATGGATGACTATTTTGGTCATAGGTTTCATACACTTTCTGTAACAAAACATCTAAAAGCAAAAATGCAATCAGATGAGGGACCTTGAGACAAAAACATATAAAATGGGGGTCCGGGTTCTAATATGTGTCAGTTTAGGGGTCCTTGATATGAAAACGTTTGAGAAACACTGGTGTAGATTTCTGTGCTGAGGATTTGAAATATTGATTTCTAAGGTTTTCTGTCTCCATCCTAATGCAATGAAGGTGAATGAAATTTAGTTTTGGTGCTTACAGCTTTGAACTATGACATTTAAACAAGACTAACACTCTACTGCCATCCTCACAGATGTACTGCTAAATGCTAACATTAACATCCTCTGGACACCATGAATATCTGTACCATTTTTTTCTTGCTATTTATTCCATAGTTGCTGAGATACTTCAGTCTGAACCAAAGTGGTTGACCTACAACCCGACACTGCCATCCCTAAAGCCCTGGGGCTAGCATGGCTAAAAACTGAAGAGCAATTTGCCTTTCCAGAAAGAATGTTCAGGTTATTCTGGACAATCCACAGACCACACTCTTTTTTTATCAGAGCACCTTTCCTCTGAAAATAGTCCCTATGAAAACTGCTCACAGTAAAGACAGTGAATTCTCACAGCTAATTTTGAGTTTTTCAGATGTCATTTTTCAATACACTGAGGAGACAAATGAAAAGAGGCAATTATATGAAAATATTAGCTAACTTCAGCTTTCTGCATGGCTAACACCACTGGGGGTATACTATATATGTTTGTTTTGTAATTTGGGTAATCTGACCCTTTAAGTGCAATTAGACAGCATAATGTTTTAATACACATATTGCTGCCATATAAATGAATGGTCATGATTATCACTGCACTAAATGTCTAAGCTTATATGTCAAACATACACAGACTTTGTGTGCTTCTATGGATCTTAGCATCTTTTTTCGTGTTGGTGTGCTTGTGTGCATCACTCTGCGTATTGTGTTCTTTCAGGGTTATGAAGGGGTTAGAGAGAGCCTAAACAGTAAGAAGAAGATCTCAGTCCTGACTGTGAAGAGCGTTGACAGTAACATGAACAAAAAGAACAAAAAGAAGAAGGAGGAAGAAATTGAGCTTCCGAGTAAGAAAAAGCAAGAATATTTACTACTGCATATCATAAATATTAATTAATATTAATATAACACAGACATCTTCACATAATCTCTTGCTCTCATGAATGAACAAGTGTTGTGCCCTTCCTGTGCAGTCATACCATATCACATCACCATCTGTACTGGCCTGGAGCGGGATGCGAGCACCACCAGCAGGGCTTATGTGATCATTATCGGGGCCAATCACACCCAGACAGAGAGGTTGTGGCTGGACCTGCCGGACGAGAGGAAGGGCTTTGAGGCCGGCTCTCTGGAGAGCTTTGAGACCCACGGTTCAGATGTGGGGGAGATCAAAAAGGTCGAGGTGAGGGAGGAGGGAAGCTTTTAGAGTTTCATTGAGGATCATGCACTCTCACGCATCCACATACACACACACACAAGAACACGTAGAAAAATACACCCACGTTGCTTGAAGTAATTGTTTCTCTCCCTCCCTGCAGCTGGGCCATGATGGAGCCACTCCTGAGAGCTGCTGGCTGGTTGATGAGCTGTCTGTTGCTGTGCCAACCAAAGGGGTCAAATATATTTTTGCTTGCAAGTGCTGGCTGGCCAAAGATCGAGGAGACGGTTTGACTGCTAGGGTATTCAACGTGCTTGATGCAGAGGCCATTTCCATCTCCCAAAAGGTATGTAAATGTGAGCATAGTCATATGGCAGAGAACATACATCACAGTAAAATTAAATGACCACAACTGACTAGTGATAATGAGTCAATTTCTATCAATCTGCCACTTACGAAACCAATGGAACAATTTACATTAAGGAAAATGGTTTATGTAAGTAGAAATACTATCCAGCCATACCAGAACTCCACCAAATCATGATTAAAATTGAATTTCCAATTAATATCTTCAAATCTGGTATATCTCCAGGTTTAGATGGGACATTTTTGAGTACCCCCTCCAGCCTGTTACAAATATTTAGATAGAAATGAGATTGTATCTGAAATTCCCGAAAAACAGTCTTATTTCTCAAACAATCAAAGATGCTGACATTAGGTGTAAACTAATTGTATTGCCATTAGAATTAATACTATAATTCACAACATTATTAGTGACAAAAATGGATTGATTGAAGGTAGATTTATTGGTGACGGTATTGAAAATGAAAATGTCCTAGCTCTTGTTCTTTTGGCTACTTTTGAGAGATTTTTACACCATTAGATGAGTATCACCTCCAAGATGTCTTATTATCAAAGGGTGTCAGACAGGGTTGTCCCATGTCTCCCTATTTATTTCTGTTAGCAATAGAAATATAAAACCTAGAAACAAAAAGACAGTTACTACATTACAATCTATTGATTTACAACTTTACAGCTAGTTTTGAATGGTACCTCCATATGTTCTGTCCCTGTTTTAACTGCATCACTGTAAAAAATATTTTATGGATGTTTACAGCATCACTGCCAAACCTTAGGATTTCTAAAAATATAACTATGCATATTGTTCATTAGCTGCAAGATAAATTTACATTGTTGTATAGTGTAATCTTGTGATGTTTTTGTGGTAAAGCTGCATTTGGGAGAAAATATAATGACTAAAATGTCTGATATTTTCATGTCAGATTATTTACGAGGTGACCGTAGTAACAGGAGACGTGCAGAATGCAGGAACAGACACCCTGATCTTCATGTCTGTGTTTGGAGCCAACGGCAGCACAGAGGAGATGCTGCTGCAGAAGAATGAGGACAGGTAGACAAACATGGACATCAGAAACAATATCAAATAAAGAGACTGTTTTAATATGCTGCAGATTATAAACTCTGTGTTGTGTGCATGGTGGATTGGAACAGGTTTGAGCGCGGTCAGGAGGACACTTTCAACATGGAGATAGATGATATAGCCCCACTGAGGAAAATGAGGCTTCGTATTGATGGCTCTGGCAGTCGACCTGACTGGTTTCTGGATAAGGTCAGGAGAACGCCACCGTTTTTACACATTTAAGTCTGTTTAAAAGTCTTGGGGATCACTAATTCATATGTACAGAAAGAGTTGTGGCTCCAAATAATAAAAATCTGGGCGTGTGGAGTTAGAAAGAAGTGACGTTACCGAACTGTCAGCAGTAATATTGTGGGATGATATCTCTGGTTCTGCTGCATTGATTTTAATATTGTTTTTTAATACTGAGTGAAATTTAAAAAAAGTATTTTAATTAAGACAGATAGAGACATGTGCGTTCAGGAGATGTTTACATGCAAGAAAATTGTCAAAGATTACAAAAAAAAAGAAATGCTTTAAGCAGCTTTAAGTGTCCACAATGAGCTGATCATGCTCTACGCACAGTTTCCTTCTTCCCTTCTTGTCAAGAGCTAATTGGTGATCAAGAAGAAACTGCACATCCATAAAACATGAAACCAGGAGTACAAAAAGCAGAACACTCTGTTTGCTTCTTCCAAAATCAATAATAGCAGTCACAGGTTTGTGTTTTGGGCACGGTATGCAGTAGGTCACAGGGTCATTCAATCTATTATATCACACAGACAAATACACACACACATATCTGTCCCTGCCTGCAGGAGAATGGTCAATGATTCATCCACCCACAAAGATACACACACAAATATACACACACAAACACAGCAAGGCCCAGAGTTCCTGGAGTGAGCTATTGACCCATTTTATTCACCATGCTGTTGTCATCATGGACACACATACAGTACACACACACACACACACACACACACACACACACAGTGTGTTTCTGTATTCACTAGAGAGAGAAAACATTTTATTTTAAATTCCCTTTTAGTATGAATTGGTGTATGTTAGTGTCAATATCGCAAATGTTTAAAGCATAGTCTAAAAGAATGACTGACTGCATTAATATGCAAAGTTTGCCAAAATCTTTCAGTACTTTTTCTCTTCAGCTGACCCTGGGAGGACAACATCACTGGTCACCTCCGAATTCAGTCTGATGTCTCCAGACAAACACTTCGATGAAATAGAACACATTTCCTATGCAAATGTCTTCTCTGGTAAAGGCACCATGCCTGCAGAGCAGCAAAGCAGTCAGGAACAATACCAAGCCCTGTCCGTCCGTGCCTGGGACTCAGCGGCTGCGAACGTCTCCTTGACTTGACCCTGCACAGAGCCTTGTGTGTTCAGCATCACAAGCAGATGTGCTGCCTTTATGGATTGCTGGGTCTGTGTATTGAAATGGACACAGTGCACTGGGCGAACTGCCAGCATAGTAATCTGCCCAAATAAATATGCAGAGTGGAGTGTGGCTGCCTGAGTCTGCCTAGTAATGAAATGTTTCCCAGGACTAGTGATCAGACATCTTGGAAGAAGCAGGGTTTGTGTACATACAGATAATGCATTAGTGTCCCTAATATGACAATGAATGACACAACACTAATATACTCATCTTGTGTTAAGCCATGCTAGTGGAATGACTTTAGGGATAGTAATGTCTGTCTGTCCACCACATTGGTTCAGACTAAAATACTAAACTATTAAATTAATTAAAATTTTGTACATTCATGGTCCACAGAGGAGAACCCTGCTGACCCACTGACTTTTACTCTAGCGCCACCTTGAGCTTAACATTTGTGGTTTTAAGAGGAATGACTCAACAACTACTGGACTGGTCAACATGGAGTTTATGTTAGCCTACTGGAGGTTACATGCACGCAACATTTAGAGTACGACATTTAGAGTATGTGTGATTTTATTTTATTTCTGTGCATCCAGGTGATCATGCGTAACCTGACCACAGAGGAGGTGTCTGTGTTCACCTATGAGGAGTGGCTGTCCAAGACACGGGGAGCCAAGAGAACCGTGATCTGCGAGATGGCTGCTGTGGTGGACGAGGAGGTGATGGTGGAGCTCACCACCTATACCATCCAGGTCAAGACCAGTGATAATGCAGGTAAGCCATCAGCACATGCCGGCGGCTGTCAGCTGGCTCATAAAAATGTTTAGTTTAGTTCATCAGATAGTAGGGCAGTGAGTTAACCAAATTGATGGGAGAATGTGCAGCGATGTGTCCTGTCGCAGTCAGAGAAGAAGCTTTCCCTTTCACATTCCCTGTGGAAATTAGTACATTATTGCAAACATTTTTGTGAAAGTTGGGATATCTTTTATGTATTTCTATACTTAAATTTTCAGACATACTGTATTATTCAAAGCAGTGGTTCCCAACCTTTTTGGCTTGTGACCTCTTAAAACAAACTACTTGCGACTAATCCTCACAGGTTCCACATAACAGTGTTTGTTATTTTGTTTGAATACTTTTTAGCAGCATGAAGATGTAAAATTATTAATTAATTCATAAGAAAAAAGATCTGCAACAATCTGATAAAAGTCAGAAAAATATAAACATAATACTGCACAGCAAAGATTTTCTGCTGTCATACACTGTTGATCGCCTTGTGACCCCCCCAGATTTATCTAGTGATTCCTTAGAGGGCCTGAAGTTTAAAACCACTGATCTAAAGTTTCTCAGTCATATCAAATCAAATAATTTCCAGTATTAACACCAGAAAAAGAAGAGGACCAATGATTGATCTTTGATGAACACCTTTTTATGTTTGGATCGGACCTGTGAGGCATAGGAACTAAAGGATTCAAATGCATTCAACAGATGAGGGCATTTCAAATCCACTTATTAGTGATACCAATATCAGCCATCCATCCATCCTTTCATCTCTGGGTCATTGTCAGGTTAGGTCCGGAGCCACTCTGAGTGAGCAGAGCAGCTCAGACATCCTGTTTCATCAGTAACATCCTCCAGCTATTCCTCAGGGGACCTGAAGGACTCAAAGGTCACCTGAGAGATTTCACCTGTCAAGTGTGTTCTGGGTCCACCATGCAATCGCCTCTCTGATTGTTTTCTAAACCCTTTGAAATAAGGCACCTGAGGATGACCTGCAGGTGCTCAAATGGTTAAGTTCAAAGTGGATGGTGGCTCAGATCAGTGAACTCCTCACCCCATAATGAAACGAAATTAGGGCTACAACCTTGTAGAAGCTATTTATGTCTGTAATCTCATTCTTTCAATCACTCAAGGCTGAGTTAGGTGGATATGTTACACAGCTCATCATCCTCATTTCACCTGTCCTTGTGCAGAGGTTTGTGTTTTCCAGGAGGAGTGAAAGTGGAATAATTCACATTTGTCAACATTGTAATGATAGAAATCCTCTTCAGAAACCCTCCACACGGCTGCGCTCACTCCTTTTTTCATGCAGTGCTGTCTGTAGCTCAGTAGTGCTGCTGATCAATACGATAGCATGGCAAGAAGTCTGAGCCGACTTCAAAAGACTGCTCTCTGCCCTTGGCAGTTACTGGAAGCTAAAATGTAGCCCCGCACCACCACTGAGGCTCTGGGAGGAATAATGAGCCTGGCTGACAGACACGGACTACATTACATAGGCGATGCTGTGCATAATATAATGGTCTCCTATGGGATCATTGTGGAGTGATCTGCATGTATAATGTGAAGAGGCATTGAATGTCAAGTGTGTACATGTGCATATAGGGAGCTATATGAAAAGGAAATAATCATAACAAAAACATAAAATGATATTGTTAAAGTTTCTAATGTGGTTGAAACGTAGTGCTCATTAAAACTACAGAATTTCTAGCTTAGAGTACATGTGTTAAATTAGGACACTGAAAACATGCTGCAGACTGAGTGAGTTTTGTCCTCAGCACTGCCTAATACACATGCACTTAGTGTCCTACCCACTGTAATGAAATAATAAAGAACAGAGGGATTACAGATGCGCTGTCTGAGCCAGAGAACATATCTTTCTCTGCTGCTCATTTTATTCTTTGCATAGTGTGGTTGGCTGTTAGCTGATCAGTTTCCTCTGGGCTTTGCTATCTCAGTATTTATTTCCCCAAATAATTCAACAAATCCCTGCAATAGTTAGATGCATTGCAGTTTAAAATATCTGCAGTGTAAGCATGTATACATTTATAATCACCACACTCTAAAACTGTTCACAGATAAGGTTAAGCATTTTTATGAGAATTTGTATGAGTTTCATGCTGTTAAGTCAGAATAATATAAAAGATACATTTTTATGTTATCAAAAGGATTTATGTTTAATCTAATATGTTTTTGTGTATAGATAAACTAAACAGGACATCCAGGGAAGCAGAAATCCTGATTCGTTTTTATAAATGGAGTCTCTCCTGTCTCCTCAGGGGCAGGCACTGATGCCAATGTGTGGATCATCATTTTTGGAGAGAACGGAGACTCTGGGACGCTAGCTTTGAAAGAGAGCAACAAATCCAACAAGTTTGAACGGAAGCAGGTGGACACATTTCGCTTCTCGGATATCCTTAGCATTGGAGAGCTCTCCAAAGTACGAGTCTGGCACGACAACACAGGTAAGCCACTCAGATAAACAGTTACTCTGCATGGTGGGTTGATTAGATCTGCACTTTAAAACTGTCAATGTGAAAAGTGCTATATAAATGAAGTTTGCTTAAAGAGGTCATGTTATGCTTTTTGGCCTTTTCCCCTTTCTTTTATTGTGTTATATATCTTTTTTGTGTATGTAATAGGTTTGCAAAGTGAAAAAGCCCAAAGTCCACCCCAAAGGGGGAGTTCCCATCTCCACGCCTTTACTTCTCTGAACTATCTGTGTCACTTTGTAACACGCGTCATAATGCTCACCTAGTAGCTAGTGTGGCACGCCCTCAAAAACACAGGTGGAGAAACACATCGAGCTGCAGCACACACAGTGACGTCCGCCCGCTGCCTCCACTCACCTCCACCCTCTCTACCAAATGTTAGGCAATCAATGGACATAAAGTTGTTACTGTGATTTAGAGAAAGGGCACAGTTAAAATTAAAATAAAAAAAGATCAATTTGTTACAGATTAGTAACTTACCACTCTGAAAATCTTGAAAGATATTTACTTGCTGTCTTTTTGGTATGCTGATCCTATTACACTCAGGTCTTGCTCCAGGATGGCACTTGGAGTATATTGATGTGAAGGATGATATCATGGACAAAACATTTCGTTTCCCCTGTGACCGCTGGCTTGCCAAAAATGATGATGATGGACAGATAATGAGAGAACTGCCCTGTGCTAACAACGACTACTTAGACCTCAATGAGAAGACAAGTAAGGACAGCACAAACAACACACTTTAAAGTTATAATTGTTAAGATTTCGCATTGGGTTGATTAGGCAACGCCTGTGGTTACCAGTGCTGGGCAGTAACGCGTGACTCATTAACTGTTACTGTAATACTCAGTAACTCAGTAATATTATTACTTTTCTCAGTAACTGGCAGTGTGAGGGATTACTAATTCTAAAACACTAATAATATTCAAGCTACTAATCCAAGTAAGGCTGCGCTAATGTGTTACTAAATGCACTACCCTTGAGGTGAATGCGCGACTGTGTGGCATTGGACCTTCTGTTGTTCAAGTCGGCTGTTTGCCAAAAGCTAAAGTGAGAATGGAGAATGAGTGAGAGGTATTCTTTCCACAGCTGAAAGTACTGCCATTATTGTTTCACAGTCTAAGATGCAAAGAACATTGTCGTCCGTTGTAAACTTTGTGCGACCAGCAAAAAGCTTTCAACCGCGAGCTACATCTAATTTATTGAAGCATCTGCGAAAGCAGCACAGCAAAGAAAGAAACTTCGGCCGCTACTGACAGTGATGCGTGCACTAGTCGGGAGAGAGTGGCATTAAGCAACGTTTGACGTTTCTCAAAAGCACTGAATGCTGCTCTTATAAATGCACGTAAAGCAAAACATTAGTTTAAAAGCCAGGATTTACTTGCTCTAATATTTAGTTTCAGCCGGAGGATTATAACTTTGTTCCTGAAGCTTGTGTCATCAGTATATGAATGTGTGTGAATCATTAGTTCCTTTCTGATGTGCTGTTGGCACCTTGCATGGCCGCCTCTGCCATCCGTGTGAATGTGTGAATGGGGTGAATGTGACATATATTGTAAAGCGCATCAGAAGACTAGAAATGGCGCTATATAAGTACAGTCCATTTACCATTTATATGCTGTGTGGAAATGATACGACGTAGAACACATCTGTTTAAGGACAACTGTGACAATTACTATAATGTAATGTTTTCCCTCCGTAAGAGTACGAAATTTGTATCACAACTGGAGACACAGCTGAAGCTGAAACCAAAGAAAATGCCTGGATTGTACTTGAGGGGAAGAAGGGCCGATCAAAAGAATTTGTAATGGAGAACTCCTCAAAGAAGAAGAGGTTCTTAAGGTAGGTACTTGGTGCAAGATTAACTGCAGCTTGTTTGCATGAAAAAGCTTAAAGAAATGTGCTTTCTCTCCCTCTATTTTTCCCTATTCACTTATTATGATAATCCCACCAACACCAAGTACTTGAGCTCAGACCAAGGCTGCAATCCACTATTATGACATTATACCATCCTGGAGAAAATGAATTCTGACACAGGACAAATTGGCAGTGACATGAATATAAAGCATGTGGGCCAATTAAAGAGAATAGCTACTTGCTGTAACATGATTATTTCCCTCTCTTTTTAGGGGAAATGTTGACAAGTTCGAGTTTTCGTCCAAGAACCTGGGCGACATTGCTGGTATCTGCCTGGGCCACACACCCAAGGATGGAAAGAAAGTGAAGGGGGAGGTTTACTGGCATGTGGTGGAGGTCGTCGTCACTGAAAGGGAACTGGGAAACAAGTAAGCCATGGTTACTCCTTTTTATCACACTCATTCAATTTGTTGGTAACAAATTATATTCTTTCTTCTCTGTATTATCACCTCCAGGTACATCTTCACTTGCAATGCCCCCATCCCTCTCTCTCCAAAGAGGGATGAGTTTATGACCTTTGAGTGCACAAAGGCCATTGAGAGCTTTGCAAGTAAAGCTCGAAGCCTGGTGCCCGTCAAGTACGAAATCATCGTCATCACGGGTGATGAGAAGGGAGCAGGTACAGATGCCAATGTTTTCATCACTATCTACGGCTCCAATGGGGATTCAGGCCGCCGGCAAGTGCGGCAGAAGTT